ACTGAGCCACTGCACCTGGCCCTGCATTCACTTTGTTATTGAAAAACTTATTTTCTCTGCTTAGCCTTATTTTGGCCTTATGACTATATCTGTTTATTATATAGCTTGAAGTCTAGTAGAAGCCAGAAGGAACTCCCTTTAGACCCGTTCTACCTTATTATCCTTGCTGAAAAATAAATTTACTAGGAATACTCAGTAGAGGAGATATGTTCAGAACTGTACTTACTATTGGCCTCAGAGTTAAGAGGTGAGCTGAGTGATAGAATGAGGAAACTGTGCTTAACTACCAGGCTCATCCTGAGTTAGAGCTCTGCACAGTAACTTGTTTATTCTGAGTATTGTCAATGTTCTTTTTCTTTTGAGACAGAGTCTCACTCTGTCACCCAGGCTGGAGTGCAGTGTTATGATCTCAGCTCACTGAAACCTCCACCTCCCTCCCAGGTTCAAGCAATTCTCCTACCTCAGCCTCCCAAGTAGCTGGAATTACAGACACGTGCCACCATGCCCAGCTAATTTTTGTATTTTTAGTAGAGATGGGTTTTCACCATATTGGCCCCTCAGGTCTCGAACTCTAAATAATTAAACATTCATAATGTCCAGGATACAACTCATATATACAACCCAATATAAAGACAACCCAGTATAAATTACTGAATATAGGAAAAACCAGGAAAATGGAACATGTTCTCCAGAGAGAAGAAAATCACCTAAGACCAACCTCAAGGTAATCCTGATGTTGGAATTATCAGAAAAGGATTTTAAAGCAAATATTATAATTATCCTCAATGAAGTAAAGGAAAAATATTTCTGCAAAGATAGGAAATCTCAGAAAAGAAATAGAAATGATTTTAAAAGGGCCAAATGGCGCTGGGCACGGTGGCTCATACCTGTAATCCCAACACTTTGGGAGGCTGAGACAGGTGGATCATGAGATCAGGAGATTGAGACCATCCTGGCCAACATGGTGAAACTGTCTCTACAGAATTACAAAAGTTAGCTGGGTATGGTGGTACGTGCCTGTAATCGCACTTACCTGGGAAGCAGAGGTTGCAGTGAGCCAAGATCGCGCCGTTGCACTCCAGCCTGGCGACAGAGCAAGACTCTGTCTCAAAAAAAAAAAAAAAAAAATCACTAAATGGAATTAATCAAGAAAAGAATAAATGAATTGAAAGAGTAGTAGAAATTATCTAATGTGAAGAACAGAGAGAAAAAAAAGATTTAAAAAATGAGTGATTTTAGGCCAGGTGTGGTGGCTCACACCTATAATCCCAAGACCTTCTTTGGGAGGTTGAGGCGGGCAGATCAACTGAGGTCAGGAGTTCAAGACCAGCCTGGCCAACACGGTGAAACGCTGTCTCTACTAAAAATACAAAAATTAACTTGGCATGGTGGTGGTCGCCTATAATCCCAGCTAC